GTGTGTGTGTGTGTGTGTGTGTGTGTGTGTGTGTGAGAGAGAGCGAGAGAGAGATTTACGGGCTAGTCGATACTAATGATCCATTCCACACGCACATTAGCCAAGTACTGGCACCGGGGGGAGGCTCAGGTGCAAAGACGAGTTCAACAATCAATAACTGAGGAGCAAAATGAGACAAAGCGCGTAAACCTGTTCATTTTAAAATGGATCGAAATGTAGGCTAATATAGCAGAAAATATATGCTCAAGTCGCTGCTATAGTACCATAAAAAATATATATCTGTCGTTCCTTACACAGGATAAAGAATATATGTATGTTTTGAGGATTGTTATATTTGTCTCCATGTGTGGTAGCACCAACTAATCGTGAGCTGAAGTCTCTTTTGTGGTTCTGCTACTCCAAGGTGGCACAGACACCAGAGTGGTTCACTAGCCAAAAGTGCATTTGAGGTAACTTGATACCGGTGATTCTCTGACCCGCCGGGATCGATTGTGAAGGAGTCGATGCATGATTTCATTGAGGTCATGACTTGACATTATTCACGGGAGGGTGTTGAGCCCAAGCAGGCCACAAAAGTGGATGAAGCTACAGATTGCAAAGCTAATTTGGTGCTGATTTAACTCCATTTCGTCTGTGATATGCTGTAATGTTTAGAGAAAAAATTCCCAATTAATTTTTGCCTTTGGCATCCCGGCTCATCGACAGCTTCTCTCTGAGCTTTCGTTGTTTGCGCTGCCTTAATCCGTTAATCAGGGCCGCTTCCATCTGCGCTAACGGCATCGCTAACGAGATTCGCCCGGCGGCTGGCAAACCGGAGACGGAAAATCTGCTCGCTAACGACATCGAGAATGGACAGCGGCGCCTGCGCGAGTTGACATGAAGGCGACTGGTTCTGGGTTGTCTCCGCATGCGGCAAAGGCTATTTACATGCGAATCGCGCCGCGCCGCAGTGTTGGCTCGCCGTCACCTTCTTGGTCCATTCAGTGGTAACGACCTCATCTTCCTCCCCATCCAAAAACAGCTGTTTTATGCGTTCGTGTGTGTGTGTGTGGGGGGGGGGTGCTGATGTGGCTCTTGTGTTGCCATAGCAACAAGTGAACTTCTGCTTGAGGTCTTCTGTACTTAAAGTAGATGTTGTTATGACTGCTGCGTCTGTGAAGCCTCGATGATTAGGACTCAAGCATGTACCGTACTTCATTTTTGAAAACTCTGCACCCAAAGCCAATTTGACCGAGCAGCATGAAATTTGGTAGGCATGTCTCTCATGATGAGACCCACAAAAAAGTCTGAGAGAAGTCTAACGTTTTGGTTCGTAGCAGACATGAACGGTATTAGGTCAGAGCTGAACTTGGAAATTCAACCGCTCAAAGCATTAAGGTAGTAGGCATGTTCATCATAAGTTGACCCACAAAAAAATGCAAAGGGGTCCGCTAGGCTTTGCTAACTGTTGCTTGTACAAAAAAAAAAAGTCATGATTTCTGTAAAAGGTAATTAGACATTCAAGCTTTTTTTCAATCAGACTGTGACACAATGGAAGGGCCTGTGCATGTGTCTGTCTGTCTGTGACTCAGGCCTATAGGGAGAATCATTTCGCTGGCGGCAAGGCTTCACATTGAAGCTAATTAACACAACGGCACAGACAGACAGACATCACACAGAGGTTAGTCGCACAGCCTGGTGCGCCAAGGTGCAAACGTCCCCGCCGAAGGCCCTCGTGTTCCCGATGGTCTTTTTTCGGGAAGAGAGAGAAAAAAAAAGTGGTAACTGGCACAGTCAGAGGACGCCTGGTGACCGCGGGAACAATGCAGCCTTTCACTGGCGTCCAAGTGTGTGTGTGTGTGTGTGTGTGTGTGCGTGTGCGTGTGCGTGTGTGTTTGGGTGTGCGTTGGGTGTAATCAGCACGAAAACGGCAACATCTCAGTGTGCATTTGATGGCCGCACGGCATCACGATGCTCCGTCAGATGATTCATTCAGAAAGCGGCAAAAACGATGACAAGCTGCAGTTTGTGTGCGGCAAGGTTAGCAGTGAGCGCTTCCACCGCAGACGGCGACGAGAAATGTGGGATGCTTTGATTTACGCGCCGCTCATTTGCATCAAGCGACGATGAAGACGATCTGACGAGCCCCTCGTCGTGTTTTGACAAATCATGCCAAATTATGATTCAGGGTGGCTTTTCTTTTGCAAGCCAGGGAAACGTTACTAATTCAAGTATTTACTATGGTTCTGTTTGTGCTCCGTTCAGGTTCTGAAGATTAGTCTGATCGGGCACCGCAAACGGATCTTAGCCTCGTTGGGGGACCGACTCCACGAGGACACCCCCCAGAAACCCCCGCGGGCCATCTCCCTCCGGGTGAGTGTGTCCAGGTCCCGCCAGAAGGCCTTCCGGCCCGCCGCTTCCGACCCCACCCGACCGCCTGTCGGCTTTGTGCGCAGGAGCCCGGCGGCATTCACACTCCCCCTCAGCTCAGCCCGGCGGCGTACGCGGCGGGGGTCCCGGGCGGCTCCCTGGACGTGCAGCACCTCATCATGCAGGCGGACGCGCGGCGGCGCCAGCGCAGCAACGACAACTACTTTGACGACGTGCCGCGATCCAAACTGGAGCGGCAGATGGCCCAAGTCAGCATGGTGGGTGACGGGAAGCGCTCGGATCTGTGTTGCTGCCCCCCCCTCGACGCCTGAGATTGGCTGTCGTTCGCAGGCGGGCGAGTGGTGCGAACCCATCACGTTGCGTCCGCCCAACGAGGCCACCTCGTCCACACCCGTTCAGTACTGGCAGCACCACCCTGAGAAGCTCATCTTCCAGTCCTGTGACTACGAAGCTTACGTGAGTCCCCTTATTGGACCCTGCACTCTCATTCTCAATATTAGTTCAATTATGATTCCCCCTCCTTCCCCACAATCCCCCCTCACCCCCCACCCACACCATATATATATATATATATATATATATATATATATAAAATCATGCCCAAAGAGCTGCTTTCACTTTCTGTAGGCACAAAAAGCAGGATTGAAAAGGACAATCCTTCTTTCAAATTTATCGTCTCAAACTAGTGTGCCGCCATCTAGTGGTTGACAGTGGACTAGTACAAGAAAATATGCAACCGTAAAAGTAGCCTTCCTTCTTCAGAAAATTACTCAAGCAAAAGTACAGGGTATTTTAAAACTACTCTGACAAATACAATGCGTCCCAAAAGTTATTGAAGTAAATGTAGCATGTTACTGCCTACCTTTGCTCAATTGGCCACGCCCCTGAAAGGCAACACAGGAATACTACAGTTTATATGATGGTTATAATTTATCAAACCAATAATTTTTTTTTTTTTTTGGATTCTCTTTTATGATGACACAAGTGGTTACTTTCTTATTGGCCGAGGCTTTGGCGCACAATCACTCCAAATAAACATTGAGTGCACAAATGAATCGAGGCCGCGGCAGCCTAAGTGGATTCAACGTCTCTGGGGAGTAAAAGATGAAAAAATGTCATCTTTTAATCTTGATCTGGAATGCGACAAGCCATCTGCTGAGGATTAGGTGTCCGTTTGGTGGCGGAGTTGCGAATTGGATGCGATGTGATGTGCGCAGTACCTGGGCTCCATGCTGGTGAAGGAGCTGAGGGGCACCGAGTCGACGCACGACGCCTGCGCCAAGATGAGGGTACGCGTTCGCCGATACTCACGGCGTCGGGCGCGGAGGAGAAAGCGCTTCGCGTGTCCTTCGGTTGCCGTGGCGCGGCGTCAAGTGAAGTGATTTGTTTCCGCTTGTCTCGCGCTCTGCCGCCGCCCTCCAAGAAGTCGACGGAGCAGATGAAGAAGGTGCCCACCATCATCCTCTCCGTGTCCTACAAGGGGGTCAAGTTCATCGACGCCACCAACAAGGTAGCGTGCCTGCTGGAAATGACGCTTTGATTTCATTTGAAAAAGGGGCCCTTCATTTTATTTTGTTGTATTTTATTTACATTTTGTACAAAACAGTAGTAGCTTTTTTAAGAAGTTTTTTTTTTTTTAAATATAGACAGTCTAAACCAGTCTGATCAAATCTAGGGTGATATGTGTCACATTGGCGCAAAGCATCCTCCATTTTAGAATCTTGCTCTCCTCCTCCTTTGTGTTGTCACCACCGCAGGACAAAAGCTCCCAAAGCAGAACGCTGCATGAAATATGCGCTGAATAATAAATGCTGTTTGTTTTGCGTCTCGCCGGAGACGAAGGCGGAATCATGACAACGTGGCTGCGCTTTTGTCCGCAGAACATCATCGCCGAGCACGAGATCCGCAACATCTCGTGCGCCGCTCAGGATCCCGAGGACCTGTCCACCTTCGCCTACATCACCAAAGACCTCAAGTCCAGCCACCACTACTGCCACGTCTTCACCGCCTTTGACGTGGTAGGCGCGTATTTTCTTTATCCTCTGTGGTCAACCACTGCAGTCGAGTGACACCTTTGGACCCATCTCCATGTATGGCTTTGTCGTACTGCCCCCAGGTGGCCAAGTAGTTGCATTGAATTAATCAAGCGCACTACCTGTTTAATTCTTTAAATTTGCATCACTTTTGGGAAAGAAAAAGAAGATGGCGCTCTTGCTCACTTAATCAATTCTCCAAATAAGAGGTCCAGCGTGCTTGCTTCAAGTTTGTCATAGACGGGCTGATGGAAGTGAGCGTAGATGTTACGACAATATTCAACATCTGAAACATTGAGCAGCATCACATTCAGCATTCCGATTATGATTTTTTTTTTGGTTGATTGAAGAAAAAAAAAAAGGACGAATGTTAATAGGCAAAAGCAATCACTGTAAAATGCCGCAACGTCCACGCCGTTGACGCCTCATCTCCCGTTTCAGAACCTGGCGTACGAGATCATCCTGACGCTGGGCCAGGCCTTCGAGGTGGCCTACCAGCTGGCCCTGCAGGCACGCAAGAGCGGCCACGGCTCGTCCACGCTGCCCGAGAGCTTCGACAGCAAGCCCGGCAAGCCCGTGCCCAAACCGCGCGGCGTCAACATCCGAAAATCCGTAAGCGCGTCACCCGCTCCCCGGCCGCCGCTCGCCATCTCGCGGGCACTCGCTGCACTTACGAGCTCAGGCTGATTGATGAGCATGATCGCTGTGGGTGTGCGTGCGGTAAAGGTGACAAATGGGACAACCAGAGGGAAAAGCAGCTTGCATTCATCAGTAAGATTAAGAATTTTTAAAAAGGACAAGATTGGTGCCGAAGAATTTGACAAATGTGCTTTCTCAATCGCCGCGTATGCGCATGTTGCCCCCCCAAACATCAACTCACCGAGGAGCCTCCTTGCCGTCATGGCGCCTTGTGTGCGCGCTCCTGCATCTCCCCCGGGGCCCCCTTTGACCTCTGTGTGACCTCTGTATACCCCCTGTGCAGGTCATCATGTCGCCCTCAGGCCGCTGGTCACTGGGCCACATTTACACCCCCCACCGGCCTCCTCTCTACCCTCCTCCTCCTCTTCCTCCCTCCCGACTCTTCCATCTCGCTCAGTCGCAGGTCCTCCTCACTTTTCCTTTCCTTCCCGTGCGTGCGTCTCTTGCTTGGTTTTGTGTGCCGACGCCGCAGCCGTAAGTTCTGCCGTCTCGCTTGTGTGGCTCAAGAAAGCTCACGCCAAGGAAAGAGAGAATCTTTTCCACACATCTCTTTCCACCCCCACCCCCCAAAAAATTTTTTTTTTTTTAGTTCTTTTGACGGGAAGAAAAAACAGCTTCAGGCTGACATGGATTAAGTTGTACAAAGTCTCACTTTTGTCATTTAACTCATTCACTGCCAGCACAGTTCAAATGGATCTTTGACGTCTGGCCTTGCTAATGGCGGCGATTGAGTTGAAAATGAATCCCGTTTATATATATA